GGGGGGGGGGGGGGGGGGGGGGGGGGGGGGGGGGGGGGGGGGGGGGGCAGTGGAAAGGTTTATTTTGCAGGCACAGTAAGTGGCACGAGCTAACCGGAGGTTTTGACACACAGCACATAAATCCAAAGAGCACAAAGAGAAACGCAGCAGCAAAGTGGGTACTCTGTTAGTGTTTTTTTTTGCAGAAAAACGGAAAAAAATAACTGGAATAACTGTTAGTCGCTATGGAGGCAGGCTCAGTTTGTTCCTCCACTTCAAAGTGCGGGTCAGCGTGACCCAAGTCTGACGCCGTTCAGCAGGAAAAACTCTGAGGAGCAATAAAAGAGAAAAAGCAGGCCAAAGTCCGTTAGCTGGCTTTGGGGGGAAATCTGTTCAAAAGAATGGAGTGAGGTCCCCAGATCGCTAACTCTGGCAGAAACTAATGTTTTTGTTTTGTTTTGCTTTTTCCTCAGTGGCCCTTCAGCCCGCTTTAGCTGCCAGTGACACAAGACACCTGGATCTCTGACCAAGCCTTCCATTCTGTGTGTGATTTGCATTGTTGGATTCACAGTTTCCAGGTTCCCGGCAGCAGCTAGCGGCGTTTTGTAATGACTCATCTTCAAAATCCTAAATCAGCAGAAAAATCCACTTTCACCCTGACCCCGATTTTACTTCAAACATTAGCAGGAAACACACACATTCAGCCATGACTGATTTTAGTGAAATGCTTTCTACTCCCTGGACATTTAACCGGTTCCAGTCGACAAAATCAGCGAGGTTAACTGGGATGAAAAGCTTTCTTTGAGGCGCCTCTGCATTTTTTTTGTCGTTCCACTATGGCAGCCACATGCTGCGTGTCAAAGTCCAGTAATTATTGGGTCATGAATGGATTTGGCAATAAAGATGACCAGGTCTTATTAGGAGGAACTCCTCACAGGGTTAAACCAGAGGAAATCTTTACTCTACCCACAACTTTTGCCTCCCCCCCCTCCCGTAATTCGTAAAACGATAACAGCTCTGTGAACCGGGGCCCGGACCTCTGAAAGCACGTCTGCCGAGATGAGAGGACCAAAACACTCTGTCGCCATGGGTACAAGACAACCTGGACTCACTCTGAAACAGGGACACATTATCACCGTCTGCATAACTACTCAACAGCATTCCAGGATATTTGTGATATATTAGGTTTCACGGAGCATGAGAATGAGGTCATGCATTGATTCTGCAGACTTGAAAGCAGTTCCTTTTCCTTCCCCTCTCCTCACTTCATCTGCCTTTTGCTTTTCGCTTTTTGGACTGAGAAGCGGAAGCTAACGCGGTTAAACTTTGGAATTAGCTGCTTGTGTTCATCTGTGTGGCGTTAGATATGGTTGTCCCAAAACACCCCCCCCCCCCCCCGTGCCCCCCCCCCCCCCCCATCCCCCCCCCAATTAGCTGCTTTCCCAGAATCCCGTTCAGATTCTTATTATTCATGTTGTGGCCACAACTTCCATCTGCAGAAATGTTGCAATATTACAACAGAGGGGCAGAGACCCACGTAGGTGGACACGCTCTCACACACACACACACACACACACACACACACTCACTCACTCGATTAGATTCTATCCAGCTGCTCAACTTTCTGAATCCAGATGTTTTGTTCAATGTTCCTTTGCTCTCGTCAGTAGTACTCTTCATAAACTAAGAGGAGTCACACATGTGCGTGCGAACACGTGTGGGCGCAGTTTGGGAAACACGTCCGAGGGAAAGAAGCAGATGAAAAGCCGGTGGTTTCCTGATTCGCAGAACAAAAACATTTACTGTTAAAAAAAAAAAAAAACAGACGTGCAGAGGAATGGAGGGGCAAGAGGGGGGACTGGAGCTGGGAGAGGGGGCAGGGCACCGGTAGAGCTAATGAGTGGGGGGATAGCCTTGGTGAAAAGAAAAAGAAGTATGAAGGCCTTAAAGTGGCGCAAACATACGAAAGAGTTTGAGGTCAGGAGAAGGAGGAGGAGGAGAAAAAAAAAAACGAACCCAGTAAAAAATGAAAATAGGAATGAAAGTCGGCATCCTCTCACAGTCCTGTAGGGGACTGTGCCTTTAAGCAATTTGTCTCAAGGTATCAAATCTGTAGGTTTTTCTGTCTGTCAGCACATCTCTTTAGCCTAGCGCTGGTTTATTTAGAGAACTTTGTTCTCCTTTGTTGTTATCGGCTTGACTTTCTTTCTCATTTCGCTATATTTAAGATGAGCTTTCAGAGGTTTGGAGCAATGCGTTTGCTTATAACGTCACCCATTCAACAGAGACGGGTGCGTCTTTTGTGTTTCTTTGGTAGTAAAATACAACGTCACAGTTTGCTGTGACCCCAAGCAGGGACAGAAGATTTGCAGTCAGATGTTTACGATTAAAGATTGATAACTTGTACTCTCTGAACGAGAGTCTGAAGAGTAATAGCGTGAAGTATATACAGCTCGGACACTCTTTTTAAATACTCCTGTAACGCTGAGTGCATTACGGCCCACCAGATCCTGCACACGGTCATCATTCAGGAAAGTTCTGTTTTCTACCGGTTGACACTGACAGATGTTAATACTAGTGAACGCATGCGATGTAAAATCACGTTTTATCGAGACGTACTTCTTTTATTCTCCTGTGTATGTTGTTTTCCCCGTGACAAATGGATGGCGGATATTGGTCCAAGTGGTCTGTTTTATATTCCCGACTGGCTTTGGGTTTCAGGTGTACACCTCGCACGGGCCCACGGTCGTCATGCCGACATGGTTCTGCTCAAGGAAATTGTTCCTGACGGTCGGCCCGTTTGACGAGGGAGGCAAGGTGAGGGGTTCAGCCTCAAACCGTTCCCCGAACGACCCCTTTATGGTGTCAGCGCACCCAGAACCAGCCCGTTTGTGTTAGGTGTCATCCGAGCACCTCTGACAGCTTCACCGTCTGACCCCAGCAGGCCCGGGAAATCTGGAGGGAGGTGACTCACAACGGAGTAGTTTCCCCCTTAAAAGATGTAGTGTATTCAGTTTTTGTTCTAGATCTTTTTTTTAACTTTTGGACTAGTCAATTAATGACTTTGTTATTAGTCACTGGTGCTCTGTTTAAGCATGGCATCCAGATTTAGCTAGTTCTGATGGAGAAAACGGAGGTATCTGAAGTAACTACACTAATTTGTCTTTAAGACTGCTGGTTTTAGGGCTGCTGATCTGTTAAACTCAAAGAAAGCGTCACTTATTATCTCCGATTATCTCCGTCCACAGCAAAGAGTCTGACAGCTATTTTAATCGAACCCCCCCCAGGTAAATCTATGCCAACATTCAGTTTTAAGCCAAAGCTGATTTAAGTAACTTTTGATGCACTTGTCTTTAAGCCGCAGGTGTGTTTTTCATGCTGGGGGTGTGTAAATTAAGTGCAAAATGACTGATCTTAGGAATTAGCTTGAGTTTAATTGCTTCACTGTGTCATGTTAGAAATTTGACATGATTACAAGAGGCTAAACGTTTTAACCCGTAAATAAGCTGCGTCATTGTTTAAGCCACAGTAAAAAAAGTATGCAATATAGTCCGATAATTACGATATTAGTCAAAGTCTTTCACATTAGCATCTTTTGTTAGCTTAAGGGTTAGGGCCAAAATAGTATCTATTTAAAAATAGAATAAATCAAACAAACCAAACACTGGGAGTTAGTCATTGTTCATGTGACCTGTAGCTTGAGGAATATTTTATCCATTTCTGAGCTGATGTCCCATCACTATTTCCATAACAACAGATGTCATTTTCACATGGACAACTTCAGAATGAACGTCAGCAAATGTTTATTATATCTGGAGGACTCCAATTACTTAACAATAATAATTACTAGAAGCTATTTTCGACATTGGCACGTTTCCAAATACCAGCCGAGTAATTTCCATTGACTTTAGAGCTGTAAGTAGTTCTGATCCATTTATGGAATAACTCTCAATTTCTGTGCATCCTGATTTCATTCATCCCTATCCAAACATATCCATTAAGACTATTACATTTGAAGCTAAAATTACTCTGTTTTCAATATTTTGTCCCAAACAGCTGTGACAAAGACTGAATCTGAACTCTATTTCTTTCTGCTGTCCTTCTCTCCAGGGAGTCCCAGAGGATCTGCTCTTCTTCTACCAAAGTCTTCGTCGGGGAGCGGGTGTCCTCAGGGTCAACGAGTGCCTGCTGGTTTATCGTTACCACGAGAAGGCCGCCACTCATTCCGTAACCGAGTCAGTCCCACAAAACACGCTCGTTTCCACTCAGCTGCACTCACACGCACATTTCTGGACCCAGTGTTGATCCTCCACCTACACACAGCTGCCCCCTGGCATCCCAGAGTTTCCCAGGGCTCCCCATCCCAAATATGTCCGCAGACCCCCACACACACACACACACACACACACACACTGACACACGCACACACACTGGTGTTATCATAATCTTGAGATTTTTCAGACGATGCGTTTGGAATTCCAGTCACTTTCCCAGCATTTCGAGCAGGAATTTCAACCGTCCTCTCCCGGAATGCTCACTATCCCGGCCTCGCTGCGCGGAGGGAATCGGATCCCGGTGTGAACAGAAGTGTCAGACATGTTGTGTGTTGGGGGGGGGGGCTGGGAGTCCCGCTGTTGCCTGTGTATCATCATGCCCTGCCTGCAGGTGTGTGCATGTGTGTCTCTACACGCAAAAAATAACAAAGAAAAGAGGTTCTTTCTGTCTTCCTGCCCCCCCCCCTTTCCCCTGCACCTCCCCACCTTTCCACCTTTCATCTCCTCTGTCTTCCTTTCCTTTTCCCCTCCTTCCTTCCTCCCTTCCCGCAACTGCTCGTATATCTGCCCGCGTTGACGCACTCCTTCACCGGTGATCCTCCTCTGTGTCTTCATCTATCGGCTTTTTCTATTTTCGGAGCTCTATTTCGGTCGTGACTCCTTTACACTCCCCCCTACTTCTTGTCACGTCCTTCCGTCCGTTACCTCCCCGGCTTCCTCGGTTCGCTGACACGGACCCGTCTCCGTTTGGTGATCACCTCTCGCTCTGAAGGCCTCTGCTTCATAATGCGAGTGGAGGGCATGCGCTTGTGTACGACGGATATCTCAGCGCTGCCGTGTCTAAGAATAAAATACCACAACTGTCCCGCATGTCTTCCCTGTTCCAGCACGCCCAACTCAGATGACCGGGAACTCCTCAGCTCCTTCAGCTCTGCAGAAGATTGATGAAGACCCAACAATAGCCTGTTAGTGTCAAATCAATTAGCCTTGCCGTCTTCTCCTTTTAATCTCAAACATATTGTTTAGATTTGGGAATATCATCTAGTTTGTGTAACTGTTTCTGTGTGTGTGCACAGATGCTGAACTTAGACCTCTATTCAGTCGCTCTGCAAGCAGGAAACATTCTCGCCCAGATGAGTCATTATTATATTGTTGCGTGGGTCCTTTTGCCCCTCACGTTAAACACATGAAACCCACAGGGCTCCGCGGGATAGTTTGGAAAGCCTCGCTCTGTTTTTTTGCACAGAGAAGCACTGAGGCTAATTACAGATGGGGCTGCAGCATCATATACGATTATTCCTGAGGTGAGCCAGCCACTATAAAAGAGTCTGCAGCTGGAGAGCTTGGCCTTCCAGTCCAAAGCTCAGTGGGGTGACATACCGTGGAGAGAATTTTAAGTGATTTTTCATCAGCCTATTTTTTTTTTTTTCTTCTCCATGTGCTGTTGTACTCTTTTTCCTGCAGTCACCACCTGGAGCTGACTGAGGAAAAGCACCATTGTGGTTAGTCTTTTTCAGATAGTAACAAGTTATTTAACCTTAACTGATAAAGTGAGAAGGGGAGCAATGGTGCAGTTATTAAGCTATTAAGCTGTACTTCCGAATATTTTCTCAAACCGAATGGCTGCAGTGAAAGCAGATCCATTAATTCTGGAAAGACAGCGATGAACGATCACATCTGAGGGAGAAATTCAATCTGAAGAAAATCTTGAAACACCATCTGTGATTAAAAAAGTGGAAACATATCTACATTTAAGCTAGCCGGGGTGTTTAAGGGTGAAAATAGGCAGAACAACTGTGTAACTTTAAGCTTCCAGGATTAAAAAAACAGCTAGTTTACAAAGAGTGGAGCACTAAAAAGCGGTCATGTGGTCTGGTGAGTTCATGTTTACGCTGTTTGAGTGTTGGGGGGGAGCATCGGGGGCAGAACAGTTAGATGGAGTGCACCCCTGATGACTTTTGTCTGCCACGCAGGGCTGTGGGGGCAGTGTTATGATCTGGCGTTGCCCGGAGACCGAGGTCAGCTCACGAACCGAATATACCCAACAAGTTTTTCCACCAATGGATTTTGATTTCATCCCTATTGGCACAGGCCTGTGTCGAGACTCACCAGGCTCACGTTGTGAAACAGCGGTTCAGGGAGCATGACAAATCATTTCCACACATGGATCGGCCCCCACCGAGTCCAGATCTCAACCCCATTGTGAATCTTGTGGACGTTTAAAGGAAAACCTCGGGGCCTGAAACGATAACTCTGCGCGGTTGTGTCATCAAAGTGGGAGTTCCAAACAACCCGCCGAAAACTCCAGGAAATCAGCGCCTCCTGCCAAGAACCAGCAAAGCGCCAAACAACTGTGAAACGGCAACTTTCACACTCGTTTGTTTTGACGAGCAGTCAGCATGCATATCAGATCCCAGCGGCCGATCTGTTTTTCTTATCTTTACACCAAATCCCGGCCGGGGCGTGACGCTCTGCATTCAAACTCAAAACGTCTTTTTCGTCAAACTTTCTTCTCCTCCCCTGCTTCCAGGGAGACCATTTGGAAGCTGCGGGTGGACTTCCTGCAGGAGAGAGTTCTGAGCGAGTGGGAGAGCTTCACCATATGGAACGCTGGGAAACAGGGCCGGAAGCTGTACCGAAGCCTGAGCCAGACCAATCGACAGAAAGCAAGTCCATTTCAGATGCCAAACACTTGCTGAGTCATTCTACTGTATTTACTTATTTTTTCTGTATCTGGGGTCTCAATTTCTAATCCCTGGTGAAACGAGTTGTAAACTATGCTGTTCTGCCACGTTAGGTCAAAGCTTTCTGTGATGTGGATGAGAACAAGATCCAGAAAGCCTTCTACACATATGAGGAGTCCAAGGTGAGATCGCCTGCAGACAAAAAAAATAAGCCATAACAGATTCCATAACAGCTGCTATGTGAGTGGACTCAGTTCCACCAAAGCTGTGGACAGCAGTTGAAACAGGGATGTGCTTTGCTTTCTCTTTGTTGGTGTCTCTGCAGGACAGGCCAAAGCCCAGAGTCCCTATCCTGCACTACAAAGATGCCTCGGGCCCCTTCATCGTTTGTGTTAAACTGGTGAGAAGAAAAGAGTGTTTGTGTGTTTTCTGTGACCGCCCGTCCCTCAGGTCTGTGATCCGACCTAACGACATAATGAGCGAGGGCGTGTGCCCCGTACAGGACGCAGCACACACAAACACACACACACGGGAGGCCGCCAGGAAACGCTCCCAGACGGAGGCCCGACGTTTGATATCATACCACGCCGGAGCAAACAACACGTTCTGCCGCGAGCGCCGGCTCCACACGCGCCTCGGCTTTATCGGGGTTTCACGCTCCGCTTCTTTTCTAAAGCCGGTGTTCTGCTCCTTTATGAGCTGATTTTTTCAGTCGTACTTAAACGCGTTCGCAGTTTTCCGTGGAAGGGGAATTCCTTATTCTGCCGTCTCAACACGCAGCCAGACCCCGATTCGGATCTGAAACTGACCCCACCTAAGGGGTCTGCTAATTGCTCAATTATGGAAATTGTGAGCGGTAATCAGAGAGCAAGGCCTGGACTCAGTCGGGATGCAGATCAACCCAATCAAAAAGTATCCCAGAGGGTGTCTGTTAAATTTTAGTTTAGCAATGTGGTCAAATCTAACGTTTCCCGAACAAGACGCTCTGACGTCCATGTTTTTTGTGTTTTATATCCTATCGTTATGATCATTTGTAGGACATGACGGGAGGCGTTCTGGAGGAGAACCTCAAGTCTCTGCAGCTGAAGGAGGGAACGGATTACTGCCATTTCAACTGAGCGCTCGGGGCGCTGCACAGGAGCCCGGCAGGTCGAGCAGGCAGAGGAATGCAGAGCATTTCTTTACGTAAACAGACACAAACGGGGGCCGTTGACTGGTAAAGCCTGCAGAAGAGTGAAGCACCGTAACTCTGGAGGGGAGCGAGCGAAGTTAAGAAAATTTTGAAGTCATCAAAGTTTGACTCGGCAAGGCTGATCGCCCTGATTTTTCCACCTCCGTGCACACAGAGCTGCGGCTGTGACTATTGGCTCTCTCGGTGGAGCGTTAAGGACTTATTCCACATTTTAGACGTTATTCCTCTTTCACCTTCGTGTTGTGAATATGCCGTTGCGTTCAGGAAAAATGGACTCTTCAGTCTCCAGAGCATGATTATCTCAACCATTTCAGATAGTTTTACCAGCGATTGCAGGTTGGAGAACTTCAACTGAATCATAGAGGATGTGTTTTTTTAGATTAAATTTTGAATAATAAAAGCAATCCATTATTTAACAGGACGGGATAATCACAAGTTTTCAACATGAAGGCGACAAAATGTGACCGAGTTGTGTAGTTTTTACCAAACTGTATACATCAACATGTGTTGAGTCACATCATTTCCCATAACAGCGGGTTCAGCTCATAAAAGTGATGGGGGTGGGGGGGGTTTTAAGACCAGATTTCTAAACAGTCCTCCTCTGATGCAACCGTGTAAAATCAGATACACAAACCCATCTGCTGCGAATGAGCAAATACGGGTTCTGCCCAAAGTTTCTTTTCCTTTCACTGCGTTTCTTATGAAATCTAAAAGAACAATGACCTCTTTAAGCAGTTCCAGTTGTGACACATAAACACATTTAAAAAGTTTATTTTACCTCACAGAGAGAGGAGTTTTTCTGCCCAAAGGTAAACAGCCCTTTCCCTCCCAAAATCTCCCCCTGCGCTTCCTGCTCCCTCCACGCGGTCTGCATTACTGTAAATCTGCCCGCAGCAGTTTAGAGAGAGGCAGTTATCGGTGGCAAAAAAAAACACACAAGAAAAGACACAAAAACTTGTTATACTCACATCCTTAGTTGTGAGGATAGTGCCGGGCAGCCGTGGCACCAGGTCAAAGGTCAAGCTCCGCCAGGTTAGAAGTGAGGGCCCTTTGTCTCTGCCCCCCCACTGTGTGCGTCCGTCCGGGGACTTTGAATGTTCACTTCACCATATTTGATACCCACATCCCTTTTCCGTCTGACTCTTTGTGTTTTCCTCACTTCCTGGACTTTTCTGCTTTTGCACCCATTTGTAATCGTTTCCCTGTCAGCTAATCTGGTGTTTAGTTTCTCATTTGATAGATTCAGTGTCTGGTCCACAGACAACCCAACTTAAAGGTTCATTTGACTCCACTCAATTGAGCAACAACTCAACAAAGTGTACACAGTGTGGCAACTATATGGTGCTTTTGGTGAATGGCGGCCATTTATTCAGCTAGCAACTCTCCAAAGCGAGCGTCTGAAGTAAAACTATGTTCCGTCTACACACATCCTGTCTCCTCTACCCACTCTGCCCTCATGATAAAGCACTTGTTGGATGATCAGAGTGAGCTCTAATGGAGATTCTATGCGAGAGGGTAAACAGAGCTTTGCTCAGTGTTTACACTCTCTATCTCTCAGACGTAAAAAAAAAGATAAGTCGCACAATGAGTGACCCTGACCACCCCCCCCCCCCCCCAAAGACGCACGCCAAGAAGAGAAGGAGATAAGAGTCGTGTGTTTGAGTGAGGAGAGGTCACAGAGGTCTGACGCTGAGGGGCTTTTTCACTCACCTGGAGCAGCCCCACATTCCTTCGTTTCAGTTTGTCTGTAGATGCAAAATGAGATTGTGTGTGTACGTGTATGTGTGTGTTTATCTGGCTCGACGATTGATACAAAACCAGCACGTTGGTGATGAAATCAGTGAAGCCCCTAATTTTAATTTTAAGCATTTTAACAACAAGAAGGATTTTTCAGAGGAAAATACTTGTAAATAAACCAAAGCACACTGAAAGACAACAGCATACTTTAATCAGTGAAGGTGGAATTTTATTCTAGTCTGAACCTCTCACTGATACCACATCCAGGTCAGAGTTCTGAGCTATCCGCATCCCCATATTAGTAGTAAAGTAGGCAACTTTATCCGATTTCAGAAATAAATGCAAAGACTGCAAATGCAGATGATGTTGTATCTTTCTTTAGAAATGACTCAGGTTAAGAAAACCAAAATCTGTATGATAGAAAAGTACCCCCGACATAGAAGAATCCCTGGACTATTCACTCATTGGCTGCAGAAGCTAATGGGACCAGTGACAGCTTTCGTGTGCTCGCCATCTACTTTCTGTCTGCTGTGGCTTTAGCGTTTTGCTGTTTACAGGCCGCCATTTTGCAATGGTAGATTTTGTCTCTCGAGAAAGTTTTTCGAAGAGATTCAGGTTATCTGTGCGCCTTTTCCTTTTGACTTAGCTGTCGCTGAACCCCCCTGCAGACGGCTTTAGTTCAGACTGAAGCCTTTTAAGCTGCACTGATCTTTGCAGACTTCCACTGAACTTTCGCCTCAGCCTGACTGTGAAAGTGCTTGATAACATCATCAACTGTTGAAACAGGAAAGTCAAAATTTTCAATGATTACCAAATAACTTTCCTCTTTTTGTGCAGTGAGAAAATGTGTTCGTCGCCTGAGGTCATTTCAGCAAATCAAGCTCAAATAACAACTTGTTTGAGGAACCCATTTGAATTCATTAAAAGGACCCCTGTTTTTTTAAAGTGAAGGTTTCAGGAGTTTTTAGGTCTGTTTGGATCTGCTGCTCTTATAAAAGCTCATCTCTCTAAATGGAAATGAAAGAGGACTTATAGGACGAGGTTTCACTCTCACTGCCCTCCTGCTAACCCGGGAGCCATGAAAGCCTCCACTTCCCTGCTGAATGTTCTCTCCTCTCTTTCAACGGCTTCTGCTGTTGCCCTTGAGCAAGACGCTGTTGGCCCTTTATAGGTCCTGCGGAGTTGCTCAGCTGGCCGCCGTAGGTATCGAGATTTCTTCAAAAGCGAGAGGAAATAAAAGGTCACGGGGGCTGAAACCAGAGACGCAGGAATGTGCGTGTGCAGCTCGGTGAGGAAACGCTGTGAGGACAGACGGAGTGTTCCTCCTGTCAGGCTGCTTGAGAAGAGCCAGGTG